CGGCGCCCATCTTCCCTCTATCCTCCAGTTATTTCCCACAAGTTGAATTCGCTCCCACCACCCTCGACGAAAATCGGCCGTCCCTCTCATGAATGTAGAATACTCCTCCCAAGTCGCACCCCTCGTCCCTGTGTCCGTTGTCCAACGCATTCGAGCGTCCAGGCTTGCAGTGCTCCCGCCACGGTCGGCACCCGTGACCGACACTTTGCAGAGGAAACCGATGAGCAAAGTTATGGTTCAAGCTTAGTTAAGAAACATTGTCATTGTCTTCATCAACTGTTAATATCAAGTAATCTAATGCTCCATGAACGAAAGCAGAGTGAAGTCATCAAAATGATAAGAATAGGATCCTCGAAGTAGCATCTCAATGTAGTCGACCTTCGGATTGATTGGAAGTCGAATATTCATTTATTCATCACCTCACATCAGCGAATGCTTTATCGTATATCTGCTCTCGTATGTCTACAGTCGCGCAACCTTCTTCGTATTTCACAATCAACATCGCTGGCGCTGCCCCCTCCCGCCAATCGACCTAGGTACTACATCATACATGTCTTCAGTAAGAGCATATCGTCCGCCAACTCGGGACAATTAGCCAGCGCGGTACTCATCGCTACCTGGCATTTGTGCGAGGCAGGTATGGAGTGAATGAATTGAGCTACCCGAGAGAGCCTGAAAGTCAAGGTTTCGTATCGGAATGCATATGCATTTCTCAAACCTCCCATTGATCAATTCCCTCAGGGAGCATCTCCTGGAAGGTTCTGAACGCTAACCTGGGTAGATCCAGTTCGTGAGCGGTCCACCACTTGAGGAGATCGAATTCAGAGTTGGTTTTCGACACCCGCAGCATGAGATATTTATTGACCTCATCCGAATCGAACGAGGATCCGTCGTCGTCCGAAGTGTCTTCCAAATCGGATAGGGTGTGCGTATTCCGGCGTGCAGAACCAGAAGGTGAGGCCTAAAATAGAATCGTTCACGAACCTGGACGCCTCTCGAGAATTGGAATCGAGCTCTGAAATCACTGACCGTTCTTCCGAAACAGCGTTTCAGAAGAGGGGTTTGAGCTCAATCCGGGGCCGGTTTTTACCTTGTGCAAAGTCAATTGGTTCTTGGAGCCGTTTGCTTCCATGTAGGAGTTTATAACTTGAGCCGAGAGCATGGATCTGACCTCAGCTTGGACACTCAGCTGGAAATAAGATGGACTCGAGCTCAACTCAGGGTCTCTTAGTTCGATTAGATCGAGCGATAATACTCGCTTGATCCCTCAAGATATTCACCTTCAAACTGTCGTCCTGCAACAGCTTCAGAGACTTCAATTTGGGGTGGAGGAACAAGGCGATTCGATGCAACTGATGAACCTCCATCTGGAAGTCGAAGAATCCATCGTCGAATACTCGGTTGAGGAGAGCCCAGATTCTTACCGGCTCATGTTCCCGAGAATCGATCTGGTTCAGAAGAACTCACGTGAAGAAGTTGAGTTCTAGCCTCCGCTTTCAGTGCGTTGATCAGTGAGCTGTCGGTGTTCTCCGGCTGCATTTCCTGGACGAGCCGCGTGTACCACACAACCACAAGGTACAAGGTCGGTTTCTGTTGATCGGAGAGCTCCCGGATGGCTTGGCGGAAGGGCGTGACGAAGTTGACGATCTCCTCGAGCATCGGAACATTTATCGGCGACGCATACTGGACCTATGAGGTACGCACGTTAGCTTGAGACCAAGATCAAGTTATACGAGCGAGGAACTTCACGCGAGCTCATGGGAAAGACCGGGCTAGGTACCTCTTCATCAATGGTTCGTAGCGCATTGGTGATTTGATTCCATTGCTTCAGGATGTTCTGCAGGAAGTCGAGCCGGTTCACCCAGCTCGAAGCGTCTCGCGGTCTGTATATCGGCTCGTCCAGGAGATCTTGAAGCCCAGCTCTCTCCAAGTGGCTCACCAGCGTTATACAGAAATCTGCAAGACGGAAGCTCTCGTCACGCTGCTCACCGGAACGCCGTCACCTTCTTTTCCAGGAGACCATCGTGCTGTTCTCCTGGATGCAGGAAACAATGAATTCGTATCCAGGACATCTTCGAGCTCAGACCAAGGAGCGGAATACTCACTCCACAAGTAGTGAACCTCGGATATGATGTCGCTGTTCACTTGGAGAGGATTGACTAGACACGAGTTCACCTGCATCGTGTGACCGTGCATGGTGTTCTCGAGAGCGATGTTGATGGCCGAAGCGACGCAGTTAAGTCTCGTCGCTGTTCCCAGTGCAGTGACAAGTTTTGAGTTCTGATCCGTGATATAAACCAACCTGAGACGCGAAAGCTAGGAATGAATCGGTGAGTGTCGTCTATCGGAATATCGCCAAAGAAACCGTTCTCAGTGCGAATTTTCACCGGAAGAATTCCGGAGGATCTCGAGACATGATGCCAAAATATGTCCGACGAAGCAAGGAGCCTCACCGGTGGAAATAATCGTGGAGATCATAATCCTTCAACGTCTGATACAGGACGCTCAACATGTTCTCACAGTTCAGGTACTCGTCGTCGAATTCCGCAATCCTGAGGCATCTGGTCACTTTGGTGAAATTGTTCATCGAATGGAGAGTCATCACGAGATGCTCGCTTTTTGTCGAAGCGTTTTTCCATGTCTATAATGTCTATCTCGATTATTATCGATTCCCGGCGAATCTCTACAGCTTTTGAATGCCTCATGCTTGAGTCGAGCGCAGGATCATCTCATGAGGCTAGGGGGTAAATCGTGGGGATGACTCATCGCTCATCGAATACTCGGGTAGCAAATTTCACCTGCAAGGAGAGTGATGCGCCGATGTTCCCCAGAAGTCCCTTCAACTCTACGGCTAATTTCCGTCTGCACTCCGTGGCCATCGTCTTGATTCTTTGACCGAGTCCCGCGGCCCCGAGGAGACTGTCTTTCACTTCGAATTGGCCGTACTTCACTCCTAGATCGACGCATGTCTGCAGCAAATTCCGGAGACCGGTACCAGATATCGCACTCACTGGTAAGAGGTCGGTACAGACGAAACAGGCAGTTTCTTTGCTCAGGGTATCTGCGGAAGTACATGAGAAATAGGAGCCGAAGCATCGAGGGATTGAATCTGCTTGAGAATACATGGAAAAATCCCCTCCTCGTAGGTTTGCCGTATCCTCCAGACAGACCTGAAATGCTACGGAGCTGCCGATGATTTGCTTCGGTTGGTCCAGCTGGCGATGATGCTGACCCAGGGTTGGCTGATCTATCTCTGGCCGGAGATGACCCCTCTCTCTTACGTTGAATCCTCTTCCGCAGAGCACCTGACGCCGACATCAGAGGCAGCAGAGGTTGGCATCGATGTTTGAGGATATTAGAGGTCCCAGTCTTGTGCGGTAGGAACTTATAGACTTTCCGGCATTTTGAACAAGCTATATGCTCCGGAATCAGGTTCCCGTCCATGTCGTATATCTGAGAGTGAAACGAGTGGTCGGAAAACTCCCGAGACACCGAGAGGGGGCTCCTAGGTCCCAGGCGTGATTGGCTATCAAGAAATTCATCCATGGATTAAGAACCTCTCCGAAGGTCTCCCATATGACGCTCTTCTTCTTCTCATCTCTCGTTCTTCGTAAAACAACTCGATACGCCCCGCATTGGACTTTCTTCTGGATTTGTTGAGCCTGCTGGGAGGCATCGCTCCTCGACTTCAAGGGAAGGTCCTGCAATTGGAGCAGCGTCGACGACGAGTCCTCGAGCAGGCAGGATATCGATGGGGGCGACGGACTGACTGCCGCTATCGAGAGCATGTTGTTTGAGGTTCCTTATCGCGGGTCATGAGCAAAGATTTGAAATGAGGGTTCCTAGAATGAATTCAAAGGTCCCCATTAGACGGAAAAAAACGATACGATAGAGATACCATGTAAGTCCGCCGCATCGTTCGACCCAGCGTGAGCTTGGGAGGCAAAATAACGTGAACTTGGGCTTCATACCCATCTTGAAGGTATGCACAAGCAAAGTTCACGAGGACATTTTGATTTCGAAAACCGTTTCAGGACTTGGAGGACATTGCCGACATTTCTACTTCAACATCATGGTTGACTCATCATTCCGGACTAATTATTAGCGGTCCTGTTAAGTCACTGGGTATCCCGGTGGGGGTCGAAGCAGTTCCGAGGCGATATCGCGCACCACGGGCATCGCTGCGGTGGGTTCCCTTCATGCAGTACATACCGCACTCACGTCGCCTCGATCATCTCTAGGCTTGGATACCAGCTGTCATGAACTACAGGAGTTCCTGCGGGCTAGACCCCTCCTGGCAGGGCTCCGAAATTTGTTTCCCGATGCGGTCGCATTCGGAATCAAAGGCGTTTTTATATCATACGGGTCGATCTCCCCGCTCAGTATCGAGTGCTCGCTTGTCTCGGTATTTCGGTGCTCCCTTGTTCATGATCGATTCGATTACGCTGGATTCCCCCCAATACGACACGGTCGCCTTTCCTCATTCTCTCCGTCTTCTGCCCCATGGTCATCTCGACTGCGGCTCACAGAGCCGATATGTCATTGGTTCGAGAACCTTTTTCAGTCTTCTTTCCGATAATAATCAAGGGCCATGCCTCCACCACAGGTCCCGCCTCGAGTTTTTGAATTGAGCGTGAGGGTGAGCCGGCCAGGCGGATCGCGGATGCTCATCAGCAAACGCAGAGACTGGACTTACCCATAACGGAGGGAGCGGATCTTTGCGGATTTGTGCAGTAGCGGATATCCAACCGCACATCCGAGACGACAATAACAACTTTTTTGTTTACTTGAGAGCAGCGCCCGCTAGCGGGGGCCTAGCACATAGACGGGACCGCCGACGAACCATGGGGAACAGAGTCCGCTGAGGATCATGGGAAAAGCTGCGCGGTCGTTCCCAGAAAGACGAGAGAAGGTACGTGTTCATGGACTAGCGATTGGAGCAGGTAGTAAAAATTCTGAGCTAATCAGGGAGCGCGAAAATTTGAAAATGCCGGGCTCGCAGTCAATCTAGCTCCATCTGAAAGCGAACATGTCGAGAGCCGAGTCCGACCAGCTTGAGCCCCATCGAAGACTGTGATTCCTCTCGTAGGAGGACGCTGGCCAGGTTTACTCGCCCCGGTGAGCCCCAGATGTCTCCACCCACGCATTCCAGGCGAGTGAGTTGCCGTTGTTCAGCGCCTCAGCTGGGAAAGCCGTCCCGGCCGCTCTCTTTCAGCTGTTTCTTCGACTACTTCAGACAGCTCATGATCTACCAAATCTATTAGGAGCTTCCCCCAAGCAGCTGTAGGATCTAGCAATGGGGGAAGAGGAACCGACTCCCCCCTTCCGGCTCTAGATGATGGACACCGATCTTTCACGATGAAATTCTTATCGTCTACCCGTCTTTTCCTCAAGTAGATAGCCGAGCGCCATGTCTGAAGACTATTATGCAGCCAGCACATCTCGAGGGGAATCGACCGGCGACCACTATCGAAGCGAGGAACAGCGCGCCGCGTCAGGAATTCTTCCATCAGAACGAGAACTCTCTCCTGAACATCCAGGTTATTACGAAGTAGAAGGAGAAATCATCAATGAAGCGGATTCGGAAGCCTCCCTGCGAGATGATGGTGACGACGGCGACGCTCAAGAAATCCCCAACTCATGGCTCCGAAAACCAATACTGTCCTTGAGTCAAAGGGAGAAGGCCGACATATGCAGGTCATTGTCGGTTCGAAAGATCATCTGTTCCCTTGCATCCCTCCATTGATTCCCACGGCTGTAGATCCCTTTCTTATAGGAAGAGTTCCTGACACCGATATCTTTCATAGGTATAAGAACATGAAACCTGAGACGAGCCTGCGGCAAATGTCCGAGCATTTCACTCGACTGTGGAACAAAATCGTGTGCCGACGTTCGATTTACGACGTGCTCATCCAGAACGCCAAATGGACATGCACCGAGAACAGGGCATACCAGGACACCGAGTTCACGTCCGAGAATCCCGTGGACGACATTGAGAGTTTGCTCTTCGATTGGATCATCGATATTCTGAGGTATGATAGGGACAACTCCAAGAACACACTGTACAACATGATTGTGGAGAATGTCAAATGGTATCGCTCCTCTTCCTTCGCTAGGGCTGAAGCTCGGGTCTGGGACGAGGACGTGCGGCATGCCGCTGCTGTGATAAGGGATATCAGATCGCTGAAAGATTTCGTGCCATCATCGGTCTGGTCGAATGGTTTCAAATCCAGACACAAACTCGAGACGGATCCGAATGATGGGAGCATCCTCTTCAACGCACTCGACGAACGTGAAGATCACCCCGTATTGTGAGCGCATACGAGACATGAGCCTCATGCTTCATTTTTCCGACACGAGAGTTCGAATCCCGATCTCGGTCCTGAGCAATAGATTCGATCGAGTCGACACCGGCTCGCTCCGATTCCCGTGGGAAAAGCTGACGTGGAATCGCTCCCGAATTCCAGTGAGGAGAAACGTCAAATTCGAATAGACATCGGAGAAGGCTTATCGTACGAAATAGAGGTGGGCGTGAAAACAACTTTCGATGCTCAGAGAGAACAAATCCCGCCGCAATCACAATTCGGCGTGGAGCCTTCGGCTCGTCGAGGTGGGCCGAACATCCCGCCAAATCGAATGACCGACAGTGAAATACTCAGATTCAGCGACAGTGATGACGAGGAAGAGGCTTGCGTAAGTATCGACCGTTTTGCGCCGTTCCCGGTGATCCCATCCCGGTCGGTTGAATATCTTGCAGCTCCTCCGGATTCGCGAGGATCGAATGCTAGGAATGTTTCACATTTCATTGAAGGAGGGTTATGGATTCGAAATGGCGCCCCGGGATCTCGGCTTGGAAGCGTTGCTTGGCTCGGCGTGCAGTTCCTCTCTGCATGACATCCTGAGGCATCTGATCTACGGTCCGATCGTCATGTCGGAGAAGGCGGAAGAGATGATGACGGCCGCCACCGAAGTTGCGCTGGATGCGGAGTGAGTATCGAGAGTACCTGAACACATCAGACAAGCCTAAGACAATATTGAGCGTTGACCGTCGTGCCGTGCGAGACGCTGCCACCAATGAAGATCCCCATGAATTCCAGGATGTCTGGCGGAGTCTCTACTGGGATCAGCAGAGAACGCTGCGAGAGACGAGCCAAGCTAACTGCCGATCTTGTTGACCGAGTCCTTGAGGCTAAAAGACGCCGCGATGAAGCGGAGAGGGCGATGTTCCAAGAGAAGAAACTCAGGGATTCCACCGCGTTCAAAGTCGCGGAAGAGAAACGCAAAAGGTAAGCCGATCGTTGAGCCACGTACGGCGAGCCTCCGTGACTGGTTCGAGAGGATGCCGAGGTATTCATCGGAATCAGCTCAGTCAGGATGACGAATTTCCAGGTATATCGAGAGACGTGAGCTCCATATGGTGCAGAAGAAAATTCTCGAAACGGAGGAGAGACTCTGTACTGATCAACAACGCAACGAACTCATCCGAAGGGAACTTCTCCTATCAGAAGACCCGTCTGCCGCAGCGGGAACATACTGTGATTATAGAGAAAGCAGTCGTGGTCTTTCAGCGAAGCGTCTGAGGACGTATAGCAGAGCCGATAAATCGAGTTTTCCCACCTGAAAATCCAGGCGCTTTTTTCAACGTCGGGTTCTCTCTGAATAATTCTGGAGCTCGTCCACGGGCTGCTCGTCACTCGAAGGATGAAAATGTTCATTGTCATGGGAAGTATCATCTTCATTGTAGTGATTACTCCTGTCCCACGAGCGGGACGGTCATCCTGGGGCCGGAACCTGAATCGATGCTCCGTGAATTCATCATTCTCTCCAAGCCTCTTTGAACCTCTGACGGAATTTGAAGTAATTCCCTGTTCGTGAAACCTGACTGAGCCCGTCTCGCTGGGTCATGCTCTCTAGGGTGGAACTCCGGAGCTCTCAGGTGAAGTCAATCATTCGCACCTGCTAGAGGAAAAATCGGAGATGCCGCCCTTTTGACTTGAAGTTCCCGAGACTAATCAAGAATCAATCCCTCTTAATAATTAGGTAACTTCGGGATCAGATTCCGCAATCATTGGTGAAGAGAAATGAGACTCTGACCCGTAAGTTTCCACATTTCCCCCTCCCAATAGGCCGGTAATAGGTACACGCATGAGAAGTACACCCGTACGAAAGTTGTTGCCAGACACAGTCTGGTGTCTATGGTTTCGCCCAAACGTGAGATCCATCAGCTTGGAATGGAATCTAAGCACACCGAACGTTGGACGTCGCTGTTCCAAGAGTTTTAAATGGAGGAGATTTCGAGAAAGAGCGCCATTAGCAGACGCATTGAGGCAGGGGCGTCTGCTCGGACACCGGCGAGAAAAGGTATCATTTCTCCGCAGATTGAATAAACTCATCTTTGTCTTGACTTGACAAACGTTCGCCGTTCTCTGAGAGTTCTGTCCTCTCGGCAGTAGCGAGCATCGAGATCATTGGCTTGCCTCGGTGAATCGGAGACCTGTCTCGTCAGAAATGCGATTCGAATCGAAGTTGTGCTCCTATCATTCATTGATCGCAAAACTTCCAACCTGCCCTGAGAGTTTTCCCTATAGCCGACCTCGCCTCTTCGCAATGATCTCCCGCAGAAAGTCGCTGAATATCGGGATGTCGCCGAAGAGCAGGGAAGTTCTTGTATTGATTGCTCGCCCCCCGAGAGAGACGGCTCCGTGGCCAAGTGGTAAGGCGTCTGTCTCGTAAACAGAAGATCGTGGGTTCGAACCCCGCCGGGGCCTGTCAACATCTGTTTTGTGGCTTGTTTTATCGTCGTTTCGCGGTCTGAGCGCGAGTCCGAAATAAATATACACGCGCATTCTCAGCACTTCTCGATGAATCAGAAATCAGAACGTCGTTTTCTTCGCGCCATGCGCGTGTAGTGAAGAGCGGAGCTGTCAGTGGTCATAAGGACATGCCGGAATAATCTAGACGACCCGGAGATTAGAGAGCAATTTCAAAAACGTGTCAAGACAAAGCGGATGTCCCGGCGTGATCACTCGGGGGGAGGAGGGGGGCTCCGTCCAAGGAAAACGTAATTCATAAATTCATGAATCGATTCGACTTCTCAGCGGCTAGAGACCCAGATTTCGGGCACTGATAGTCGCCTAAGAAGAGAGGCTCGATCGAAATCGGGCATCCTGATGTCCAGGATTCCAGAGAACTCGTGGATTCGAAATTCGATATTCCTTGAATAATTCACATCAAGCTTCCTTAAAGTATATTTATTGCAAGAAATGACTTAGAATAGTACGTTCGTAGAAAACGATACCTAGATATTTGGGACTGCAGTCGGTACAAACATTCCTAGAAAAGTTGTGATGACATCGACGAGTAAGCTGGATTTGCGACTTTTGGTCGGTGTTCAGAATACTCCGATGCGTCTGTGCATTCGAATCGTCCTAGGCCGTCTTCTTCTTGATTACATAACGACTTTTCTGCGGCCAGCAGAACCAAAGTACGCAGAGTATGGAGAGATGGCACGCGTGAAGCGTGCACGACGAATACACTGTGCTCGGATAAGTGTTCCAGGACATCTCTATCAGACCCCAAAGAAGAAGCTTCGCGAGTGTCGTTATCGGCAAAGACCACAGTATGTACGGTATCGAATGGTAGTACCACACGTAGAACTGATAGTGGAGAGATCGTGCAAAAACTATCCCGATGAAGTTCGATACGAACATCGGGAACAAGATCTGGTCGGGCAGGAGAAGGTAAATCGAGCCGCCGTTATCGGTCTGGACGCGATTGATGGCGCAGTACCTCATGAATCGCGGGATGAAGGCCAGCAGAACGCCGACGTGGAGGGCAAGAAGGACCAGGTGGAAGCTTTTGCTGAGGAAGAGCCACTCCGGGATACAGCGGTAATTCACGGTCCATTCGTACTCGAAAACACGGCCCAGATCGAAGGCTCGCAGGATATACGACTCGTAGTTGCCGATGAGGAACGGAAGAGCCGGTATCAGCTGGACAAGCGCGCAGACCGTGAGATTTTTGAAGGTGTGCAAGTACCCGCCGGTATTGAGGAGAACGAAGAACAACGCGGGCGCGAACAGCAGGATATTCATTTTCACCGATACGGCGAAACTGTACATGAGACAACCCATGCTCCATCGCTTCTTGATGAAAAGCCCGAGCGCCACGTAGAGGATCAGCATCGCGACAGCATCGTTGAATAGGCGAAGCACGAAAATCGAGTGGATCCGATACGACGAGGCCGACATAAGAATCAGGACATATGGCGGAGTTTTTCGGGTTTTGGCGTAGAGGTGGAAAACGAGGTGCAACATGATCAAATAGAAGATCGCGAACACGTATTGAGCCATTCGGACATCGCGACCAGAGTTAGTGAAGAAGTACAGAGCGCTGAAGATGTACACAAAACCCGCCGGGTAGACCAACGGTCCCGTGTCCCCTTTCAGTTGAACGTAGTCGGTGGTGCCGTTGAGAACTCCCTCGACCTCCTGCATATACGCACGCCAGTCGATCTCCGTGTAGTTCACCCGGTGTATGATGAAGATATTCAGGACTAGTTCTATAAACAACAATACGTAACCCACAATCGAGAGCTTCTCCGGGTCGAATAAGAGATCTTTTAGGTGAGATACAACGACGCGCAACCGTTTTTTCAAACGGAGGCCCCCCATATCTGCGCGAAGGTCTTCACTCTTCACCACGGAACCGCACTCCGGTGGATAGAGTGCCGGATGGATGTTATTGTTGTTCCACGCGACGGTGTGGAGAAAGAAATGTCTGAAAGTCGGGAGCTAAGCGACGGAACATGGAGCGGCGTCGTTTCTCTCTGTGAAATGAGCATTGAAGGGGGGTCGAGCGGGAAACTCGCTCCTCTTATGCGGGGCTTCGAAGGGAAGCGCCCTCCGGAGCTACGTTCTTTGCAATATTGATGTACTCAGCTCGTGTTCCATGATTGTAGTGTCCAAATGTAGCTAGCAGCGGGTAGTAAGCTGTGGATATCTAGATGCACATCCTGAACTCGAGTCTTCATATTGCTAGAACACTGAAGGTGGCGCAGTCGACAAAAGTGACAGTGCGGAAGGAAAATGTACGATTCAGCTAATGGTTTCGCCCCTCCGAGGGAGTTTCTCCCAGAACCGGGAAACCCGATAATACAGTGGGAAGACTGGATGGAGAACTTCCGGACGTTCCTGGATGCTCGAGGAGATACGGCGTCGTGGCCGGTGACTCGGCGGATCGCAGTACTGAAGCATTGTCTCGGGGCAGAAGGGCAAGCCCAGTACAGAGCGATCGAACATCAAGAAGCCACGGGAGATGACGACTACGAGAAGGCAATCGACAGACTCAACCGGAGGTTCTCGTCGCGAAAAGAACTGGCGGCGGCCAGGATGGATTTCTTCAGTCGGGAGCAGCATCAAGGGCAATCGGTCCGAGAGTACGTGGCAGCGCTCCGGAGACTCGCAAACAAATGCAAGTTCCCCATGACAGCGGACGACGCAATCATCTCCCAGCTCACCGTGAGGACGAACAACGCGAGCGTCCGGAAAGAATTGCTAGCCTGCAAGGACAACGAGCACTTCGAGGATGCGGTTGCGGTCGCGGCACGGGCAGAAATCAACGCGAAAAAAGCGGCGGAGTTCGGAAATAACGCAGCCCGAATGACTCCAACCGAAGCGATGGTCAAAAGGGTTGTGACCCGGATTCGCAGTGGTGATTGTTAGAAATAGGGATTTCAATTAGATAGTGAGGCTCTGAGCCCCTTAGCTTAGAGAACCGATTCCGGGGTTCACCCCACTCGTGCGTCGGGTGCGGTGAGTTTTCGATTCCAGAACCCAATTCCACATTCCAGATTCGATTCCAGATTAGATGGCTAGACAGAGAGGACTCCGGAACCATCAATCAAGCTAGTCCGATCTGAATTCCTTCGCCTGTCTAAGGGGGTTGAACCCTAAGTAGATCACCCTAGGTAATCAAGCATCCTCTCAGAGGATAGCTCTCCCCCTCTATACTAGATCTGTATTTAAGCAGCGCCTAGATAGAAATAAAAGATGAACACTGTGACTGAATCCCCGAGCTGCTACTCTGCGTCTCACTGCGTGATCAAAGCCCCTGAGCTAGTTCCGAGCCAAGTTTCCCCAGAACCTGCGATCGACAGCTCCAGGTTGAACACGTAATCAGCACTTTTAGCTCTACAAAACAGAAGTTTTTCAAGATACAACGTTCAGGAAGATTGAATCACAACTACGTTCGAGTCGCGCGATGCGGTTGTGGTCGGGCCTGTTTCTGCTCACGGCGCTCGTGACACGAGGGTCGTGTATCGTCGAGCAGCTGGAGAACACGGAGCACGGCAGCAACAAGAACGAGCTCCGGTCCTACCTGGACGCCGCCAAGCCGTTCTTGGCGTCGTTCTGCAATTTCGGGAAGACCGAAGGCGAGCCTTACGAAGAATGCCAAAAATGTACAGAGTCTCTCAAGCTATTCCTCGATCATCTTGCCGAACAACGAACATGGGCCGTAATGATGGCCGATGCCTTCGTCAAACCCCCGACGGGGATCTTGTCAGGAACCTTCAGCTTCGTGTCGAACTACGATCAATGTCTGAAAATTCCTGAGTTCGATCTCGACGACATTGAAAACGTTCTGCAGAAATATCCGCGACTACCCTCGAAAGTCAAAGGAGCTTACTGCAGCTTCAAGCTGCGTTTGAAGAGGAACAAATACTTCAAACGACCCGAGAACGAAACCCTCAGCGAATTCCAGGAGAATATGAAGAAGGAAGAGCACAAGATGGATGATGTGTACAAACTGCAGCCTGAGTTTCCCGGATACGTGGGACTTTGCGTCCCCTCGCCCTGCTCCAAAGTGTCATTCGAGAATCTCGGTCTGGCGATGAAGAACATACTACTCAAGTATATCAAACCCAATCGAGAAAAGTTTCCGATCTTGGTCGGCATTGACGCGGTGTCCTGCCATCAAGCCGATGATCTCCCCCCCGCCAGTTTTGGTACCAGATTCATCTCTGGCATATTCATCCTCCTGGCGATAATCGTTCTCATCGGAACTCTCGCGGACGTCGTCTTCTGCTTGAAACAGAAGCGCGATCATATTTCCAAGGATGAGGCCAAACACTCGTATGACTTCGCCTTGGAGGGTAACTTCTCACAAATGCTCCGCTCGTGCTCGGCCGTGGTCTCTTTCAGGCAGTTGATGGATACGCGTGTCCCAACGCACACCGTCAAGTGCCTTTACGGAGTCAAATTTTTCGCCATAGTCTGGCTCATTATGGGAAACACGGGCCAGCTTCGCGCAGGAAATATGACGACGAACATGAAAGAGATGGAGAAAACCCTCCAAACAATGACCACGCAGTTCGTACTCAACAAAGATTTGGCCGTCGATACTCTGCTGGTTGTGAGCGGGGTTTTGTCTGCGTTCGGACTCTCGAAGAGAAACGGCGTCGGTCACGTCCTGCGCTACAGCGGTCACCGACTCATGAAGACAGTGCCGATGTACTATCTCCTGCTTTGGTTCCTCATATGTTGCTTCGCGCGCATGGGAGCAGGACCCACGTGGGATATCGAGAGTCAACGTTACTTGTCGAAGTGCGGGACGACGTGGTGGGCAAACATGGCATTCATTAACAACTTCCTCAAGGTTGAAAATCAGTGTATGCCCCACTCATGGCTCGTCGCCTATCTGATGCAAGGCCTCATCGTTGCCGTCATAGCTACGTTTTCCTGGAAAAAGATGGAAAACGTGACCCATTTCGTACTCGGAGTTCTAGTCGTGACGACGATGGTCATAGATTTTGTTCTGAACCTGACGAATAATCTGGGCCCTACGACGCTTCTTCGGGAATACCGTTTAGGATCGAAGAACGACTACATGTCGATTGTGGGAATGCAGATCTACAGCCGAGGGGGCCCGTTCTTCATCGGTCTCATCATAGGTTTCATCTTCCACCAAAAGATGAACAGCAAGGGCACGTTCAGCAAGCTCGGCCGACTTGCCACAACACTCCTGTGGCTAATGATTTTGACCGTGGTTATTGTGACCATGAACGCCACGTTCGATTGGAACCGAGGTGCATCGTATCCCAGCAACTCCGTTTCGGCTGTTTACGACGCATGCCATCGCGTAGTGTTCGCGCTGGGTACGGGGCTTCTCATCATGTTGTGCCACGCAAAGAAAGGAGGAATCGTCAACATGCTCTTGTCGTGGCCCGGTTTTATTCCTGTGGGCAAACTCTGGCTCCTTATCTATCTTGTGCACCCGTTTGTTATTTTTCACAGCAACGGCACCCTTCGCGCCCCTGTATATTACACCAAAAAACAGCTCTTCTCCGAAATCTTGTGGAACCTCGTCATCTCCATTGTTGTTTCGGTCGTGCTCCATATCCTGCTTGTAGCTCCGTTCCAGGCTATCGAGCGCTTCTTCTACGACACTTTCATCGAGCCATCCGATGAGAGTGATTTTAGCATTCTCTACCTGCGGTACACTAATCTGAAGAAGGATGTGGAGACCGGCAGCTCGAATCAGAGCAGTCCTTCAGCGCGGAAAGACCGGGAAGAGCTGCCCGAACCCTACGACAAGCATCAGAGAGATTATCCCAACGGCGAAGACACGACGGACAAATCCGACGAAAAAGTATGAACACTGTAACTAAATCCCCGTGCTGCTACTCTGCGTCTCACTGCGTGATCAAAGCCCCTGAGCTAGTTCCGAGCCAAGTTTCCCCAGAACCTGCGATCGACAGCTCCAGGTTTAACTGTGATTATTGACCACTTCTCAAAATGGGTGGAAGTAGAATTCATGCAGGAAGTACCCTAGATAGACAACTACATAGACTCACGCATACATATGTGAGCTTCTCAAAACCCAAGCAGCATCATTCCAAGATACTAACGACGATTCAGGCAATACTCCTGGAATCTATATCTATATCTTCTTCTTCTATATATGTATATAAAAATCTCCGCAGGGTTCCTATGTTACCTATGCTCGCCAAAACTGCTGAACGGATTCTCATTAAACTTGACAACATTAACCATACCCATTGCGGGATGGTTTGTATACGGTCAAAAACCTATTTCTGATTCCCCAAAGCCCCCAATTTCGCCTCTTGCCTCAGTCGGCTCAAAATCGTCGTCTTTTTTTGCGTTTCTCGAGCGGTACAATCGGTTCGGTGAGGGGTAGCGAGCAACCTTACACGACCGAACGGGTCACCCTACCCTATGACATGATTTCGTCGTAACGGGAGTTCGATCGCTCTCTTCGTTTCATCGTCCCCGTGAAGTCTTGAGGGTCGGAATCAAGATCGGGGACATTGGGGACCAACTCCATACGGTCAATACGGGGGTCTTATCGCTCTCGCGGTCATCGTGCCCGTCCAGGCTTGAGAGTCAGGGAATCGAGAATGGGTGCCGTCCACGCGCGTGCTCTTTCTTCGATTTCCATCGAAGATATTGAGCATCGAGAATTGAGGCCAAGGATGCACCGCGTTTTGTCTCTTGAAACCCGCTCAGCTGAGACTGCGGAGCAGCAGACTTTTAGCCTGGCATACAGAGACAGAGTGATGCGCGATGAGGACGAACGGCTCACGGCTCACGGTCAATCGAATCGCTCTGCGTTGCGTTCGATTTTGATTCCATGCACCTTCTGACGTGAAACGTCTCAATCGAAATGGCTTTCGAGGCGTCGGGAGGCGTGCTCTCGAGCATGGACATCGAGAGCCTCAATGACTGATTAGAGCAGCGTTTCTCAAACTAAAGGGACGCGTCTCCCGGGTTGAAGGAAAAAAAGTTCACCAGGGCTTGATTTACACAATCGAGCCCTGACCGCTCCTCACCATGTAGAATCGGGAGGACACCGATTGAATGAAGAAAACTTCACATCGGACGAAACCGAATCATGTGTACCTCGATGATTCTGGTGATATACGAATCAAGATCAAGAAGAAGAAGGATCCTTTGGGGCAATCGAGAATGCGTTTCACGTCCAAACTTACGGTAGTGTCTCTGACACTACCTGCCAGGGGCTTTTTTCATATTGTCGACACTCTGTTGTCGATGTCGGTGATATGAGTGTCATATGTTCATCCTGTCGTGAGTTGTGAATCGAAAATGAATCCTGGGGAGCATGCGGCGCGGGTTAGAAATCGTGATGATTCTGTGTGGGAAATTTGAGGGCGGAATCCCCGATCATACCGACCGACAAAGTTCGGGTTCAAACGGCTGCGATTTGCCGTGCTTCCCGTGCGTGTCAATAAGGCACAAGGTCAATCACTGAAGGCATGCGGCCTGATCTTCGAGAATCCGTGCTCATATCGCACGGATGACTATTCGTAGAATGTTCACGTGTCGGTGAATCATCGAATTCGTTTGTTGTGTACGCACCGGATAGTGGGACAAAAGACTCCGTTCATCTTGGAATGATCAGTTGAAGATTCATATGAGCATCATCTGTTCATGGTTGGGAATAAATCATCGGGGTACATGATGTGAAGGTGGGTGAGTGTGATGTGTAATGTTTCGGTTTTCGTTTCTGATGATGTCCGAAGTTCGGACTCCAGAACAATGCTTTCGGCACAAACCGGATGGTGAGACCAAAGGTGTGTGTGTGGTGCCCGTTCAGGCTCGAGAGTCATGGAATCAAGATCGGATTTATATGAGCATCATACATGGTCATGTTTGGAGATGAATCCTCGAGGCATATGATGCGCAGGTGGGTAAAACTGAATCCCCGAGCTGCCACTCTGCGTCTCACTGCGTGATCAAAGCCCCTGAGCTAGTTCCGAGCCAAGTTTCCCCAGAACCTGCGATCGACAGCTCCAGGTTTAACAGTGATTATTGACTACTTCTCAAAATGGGTGGAAGTAGAATTCATGCAGGAAGTACCCGCGAGCAAAATTGTGAATATGTTCAGGGAACTATTTTTTTATCGAGAGGGAGTCCCAAGAGAGATCTTCAGCGATAACGTCGTTCAATTTGTGAGCCGAGAGTTCCAGGCAATGTTGAACGAATTCGGTCTCCGACACCAAGGCACCCCGAATTATAACCCAACGGCCAACGGACTGGTCGAGCGACTCAACCGAACACTCGGAGGGTTCCTGGAAACAGCAAGAACGAGAGGAGGGGAGATCAAAGAGAGAATCCGCGAGATGATCGGAGCATACAATTCCACACCCCAGGGAACGACAGGCCAATCGCCAGCTGAACTGCTCCACGGAAGAAGAATGAGAACACGCTTGGACGTCGTGAATCTCGTCACGACGGGACTCGAGAATATTCTCCACCATTCTCTGGAATGCCGCAGGTGCCGATGCCAGTCCAAACGGAACTCTTTTGAAACGAAAGAGACCCCATGGATAAAATGATGGCCGTCAGGACTCTGGATTCCTCTGTGAGCTCCACCTGGTGATATGCAGAACGTGCATCCAACTTCGAGAACACGCTCGCTCCACCCAGCTTTGTCAACAAATCCTCCAAGCGTGGCAGGGGGAACACATCCGCGACAATCGCTTGGTTCACCGCCCTTAGGTCAACACATGCGATCATCTCGCGGATTCTCTCTTTGATCTGCCCTCCTCTGGTTTTTGCTGTTTCCAGGAGCCCTCCGAGTTTTCGGTTGCATCGCTCGACCAGTCCTCCGAGAGTAAGAGGGGGGTTGATCCGAGGGCAGCTATATACGCAATGGAATAAAGGGAAACTGGGCAGTCTCGTGAACTCGTGTCTTGATTCCGCTAGAACACTAAAATGATCTTTGAGCTCTCCGGGGTCCAGAGGCCACCGTAGGCCACCGCAGCCGCGTTTTTTTTTCAGTTAAGGGTCTCGGATTTCCACCCGGCGCGATCTCTTGGATCCTATTCGCTCTCCTTCCTCCGAATTCTTTCTTGCCTCATAGGGAGTCCGCTATCTCCCTCCCTGGCATTCGCTTCACCTATCGAGCCTGACAATCTATATATATAAAAGCGAATGTATGTGGGTCCGTGGGTGACCTATAGACTCTCAAGCCATTGCGCGGATCGACGCCAATTTTGGTCTGATGGTCCACCGGGCTCTTCGGGAAGGTTCTTAGGGGGTTGCTGTGTGTCAGCGATCCACCGTTTCACCGAAAACAGAAATTATTGTGTCCAAGCTGGTGCTTCGTTGTTGAAAAAGCTGAGATTTATACCGGTGACCTATAGGCTCTCAAGCCATTGCGCGGATCGACGCCAATTTTGGTCAGATGGTCCACCGGGCTCTTTGGGAAGGTTCTTAAGGGGTCGTTGTCTGTCTGCGGTTCACCGTTCTGTTACAAAAGACAATTATTGCGTCCAATTGGTGCTTCGTCGTTGGATGTGAGTTTCAATTTACCGTTGCTGGGAACGGGTGGAACAAGGAGACAGCTAAATTATTAGAAAGGGGGTAAACGGGTGCCCGTTCAGATCGTGGCAAGTCAGGGGACTTTGCTCTCAAAGAAAATGTTGAGACAGAGAGAGCGGGAGGAAGGAGAAGCAAGGGGAAATCTTGAAACGGATAAGCACGAACGGGGAAAACTAACCCGATTCGCACCCATCGGAGTTGAAATCAGCCGAGAAATTAGCACGGGAAGATGAGGGGAGGGGACTGGACCTCACGATCATCAGTGTTAAGAGCGGAAACAGACATGAGGAGGGCAGTTCTCGGCGAGGTTCAACAAGAAAGCGCGTATATCCGAATTCACTCATTCCCGTTCCTCATTCACCGCTGCTGAAAATAGAGGACAGGCAGACGCGTTTTTCTGGACGGATGGAAGAAGATTTTTGAAGCCCAGGGAGAGGGGAGAAATGGAAGGGACTTAGGATACGGGGTATATAGGGACCACGGAGAAAGTAAACGAGGGCACGGAGGGAGAACGGGAGAAGGATTTAACGGGAGGAAAGGTAGGAAGACGAGCGAGAGACACGGGGAAACAACGGGAAACGGAAAAGAGGAAAGGGGGCTGGATGAGAACGTGGTACTCGAGAGGATTGAGCATCGGAGGGAAGATATAGGGGCGAACGAGGAAATAGAGAGAAACAGGGGTACAGAGAGAAACGGGGATTCAGAGGAGAGGGGATTCAGAGAGAAACGGGGGTACAGAGAGAAACGGGAAAGAATTGAGAAATTAGACGGAAATGAGGGTATAAGATGAAACGGGGCGGAAGGAGAAGGGACATGGAGCAAATTGAAGGGAGAGAAAATCGAAAGGGAAGAACGCAAAAGGGAAGAACACCAAACGCGGAGGAACACGAAATGCTCGCGGCAAAGCGCGACGGGCACGGCTAGAGCATTGTCCGGTTTTCGCCTTGGCAATCTATATATAAAAGCGAATGTATGTCTGTCTGTGGGTAACCTATAGACTATCAAACCGTTCAGCGGATTGCCGTCAATTTTGGTCTGATGGTCCACCCGGATTCCGCGAAGGTTCTTGGGGGTGTGCTTTGAGTCAGCGATCTACCGTTCCACCAAAGAGAGGCCGAACAGGGTCGCGGCAACGCGCGACGAGCACGGCTAGTCGAAATATATACTCTTCTATCGATCTACAACCCTCGCTCATTTGCCGGGAGCCAGCCTTCGCTCCCCGAGGCAACCGCGTTCGAAATTCCTGCTCCTTCCTTTTTCATGCGCGGACCGATCCGCGCTTAGAGGCCGTCGGTCTTCCGCCTAGAGCCGTTTATTCTTGTTCATCATCGTCATCTAATGCGACATGACAAAGGTCATGGGAGGTAGCTTTTGCGTGACAACTCGGGAATATTGAAGCCTCTGCATCAGCAGCTCCTGAAGCTCTCGGGGCGCGCTACACTTAAGAGCCACGCAGGTCGGTACAACATTCGACGAACCGCTCGCGACACATTAGAATGCGGTCATCCAAGAACCGCGCTGTGAGGGTTTGCTGTTGTGTCGATATCGCTCTTCTTCTCTCTCTCTGGCGGCTGCTGCCTGTTGTTGCAAGAGCAGACGACGACGTCTGAAATTCGAAATGAAGATAAACAAGCTTTGGTGAAGTGGAGGAATGCACAAAACCCATGTATTTGAGTGCCCTTGTCATCGGCAGCGGAGTACGGCTTTCGATTTCTGTGCCTAAGGGCTCCATCAACGAGACGAAACTGGCTTACTTGGCCGGATCCCGCGTGCGTTGTATTCACCGGGACGAGAGAGTTCACGAAGGCTGAGCCGGCGGCCATCGTCAGTAAATTACGCGGTCCTCCTTAGAGGAGAATCCATATAGGGACAACATACCTCCGAGAGCCGGCTTACTGCCTTCCGAAAGTTTCGAGATCAGTTCTCGTCAGAAGGATTAGCGACGCCTTGCGGTATGAAGTCCGATTCTGAAGAGGGCGAAATCGCGCGTGTGAGGTACGTCTCACCGACTGGCGTTCGAAATATTCTGCTGGACACTCACTTGGACGCGTATTCCGACAGCTTTTGACGAGCTCTGTCGTGCTTATTCTGGCAATCTGTCAGGTCACGAGCGATGCTTTTCGATGGCGTTCTCGATGGCAATCTCCAGTCCTCAATGAACTTGGATCTTCCCTGACGTAGGACTCGCGTTTTGATTGCAGCGGGAGCGAAGCTCAATCCGATGATCAAGAAGATCAGGATCACCTCGAGATCAAGCCACCGCAACACCAGTATACCGAGCGAGATTCCCACCGTTCGAAACATCATGAATACAGGGGTCGCACAAGTGGAGAAAAGAGACCCTCAGATTCGAAGGGCGACAGGCGACACCAGAGCAAACGTCATAGATACAGGTACAGCGATGCTCTACTTCCATTCCAGTTTCATTCTGAACGCCGCATCTCCATATGCCATAGATATTTCAATAGGGTGCCAGTCTCCATCAAGCCGACAGTCTCAAATAAACGGGCAGGTCTTGGTGCATAGAAGAAATTTACGGGTAGTCTCTGATGAACGGGCGCCGTCGAGGATAGGGATTCACTTGCACGAATCGCGAGGGATGGATCCGTTCCCCTCTGCTCGTTTGTGTGACTGAACAGCATGCTCCTCGTGAATCCGATTGATCTCGTAGCCAGAGGCATACCGTGCCGTTCGAAAGAGCCCAGTTTTCCCCCGAAAAAAAGTGTTTTGAAATCCCGCAATGCCGCCCCTAAAGCCCCCGAAAAAAATCCGCCGCCTGAGATATCGGCGGGCTTGCCCTATAATGATGACTATCCACGGTGACTGATATCGAGTGATCCCTATGGGGATTTGTCTCACATTTTCCATTCGAATTGCAGCAGGGAACGGGAGCGTGAAGGTCTAGTTCATGGAGATCACGATAGACGCCGTGATAGTAAACGTAAAGAGAGTTCGAGGCAAACACAAGACAGACGTGAGCGAAGATCCGACCGCGATGACAAATACCGAGAGAAGGAGACATCCGAAAAATCTTCCGTCAGAGATGCGCGGGAGAAGCTCGTCAAGCTTCGGACTGAATCGAAGGAGAAACCAAGGTGAGCTTCGGATTTGGATATGGGAACTATCTCCTAAGATTTTATTGTCAAGATGATGACGGAAGATACTCAGCCGATGTTTATATCCAGTGCTCTGGACTCCGGGGACGAGGAGCTGCGCAGGAGACGCGAGCGTCTTCTCGCGAATTATCATGAGCACGAGAGAGAGAAACGTGAACGAGAGAAGGAGAGACTCAAAGAGAAATCAACCCAGGAACGTGAACTGCCCGCTAGGTGAGTATCACGGGAGACTCCCTGGGGAGCCTGGTGACTTCGGATTGGAACTTCTGGTCGGGGAATCCGGAGATTTGTTTTCCTCGAAAATATCAGAGGAAACACGAGGAGGATCCAAAGGGTTTGTCCCAGGGTTGAGCTCACCTTTGCTTCTCCCTTCAAGCTATAAGTTCGACCCCGAGGATGACGGCGAGAAGAAGAAAAACACAGACGATAGAACGAAGAAACCCGAGCGAAAGAGTAAGATTCGTCCCGAGAGTGCGGCCCTCGTCTTGCGATCGATGGATTTAGTTTCTTAGGATGTTTTTTATTTCGTCATTATTATACGGTGAGTGTTCCCCGTAGGTTCCTCGAAAAAAACTGGCGGAAGCGACAATAGCGCAGACTCGTCCGATTCTGAAGAGAGCAGTGGTAGCGAGGACGAGGAGGAAGAGGACGATTCCGAAGACGCCACCGCCGACGAGGATCACGACGGTGCTTCTACCGGCGAACGCAAACCCCGATCAGATGATGAACGGGTGAAGTCGTCGCCCGTCAACGCGATAGACGTCGATCGAAACAGTGACAACGGCGACGATCGCATTGACAAAGCTGAAGATGACGATGAAGATCCAAATCGCGAGAGGAGTCGCGAGAGAGATATCCGCGAGGTGGATGAGTTCCTCGAGAATCGCCCTACTCGCGATAAAGACGAAGACTCCCAGGATGCGGCGGATCCGGATTCCGAGGAGGATTTGATCGATTACCTGCCGGCGGTTCAAGGTTGTCGACGGGTGGAGGAGTTCCATTGTCTCAACAGAATTGAGGAAGGCACCTATGGAGTCGTGTACCGAGCGAAGTGCAAGCTAACGAGTGAGTCATTGCCGTAATTGTCCGATGAGGATTTTTTCGCTATTTTTCATTCGAGATTGACGAGAGCTAGCGAGCTTACTATTTTCCAAGATGAAATCGTGGCCCTGAAACGTCTCAAGATGGAGAATGAGAAAGAAGGATTTCCGATCACTTCACTCAGAGAGATACACACCTTATTGAAAGCTCAACACCCAAACATCGTTACCGTCAGGGTGAGTCCGGCACTCGTCGAGAAATTTCCCTTCTCAACGCTGAAAGCGTCTCAGCGCGGTAGATGTCGTCGACGGTATCCCCGGCCGTCGTGGATTTCATTTCGTGCGCCTCCAACTTTCCCCTTCGATCATTCATAGGAAATCGTGGTCGGGAGCAACATGGACAAAATCTACATAGTGATGGACTACGTAGAACATGATCTCAAGAGTCTCATGGAGACGATGAAGGCTCCATTCCTCACTGGAGAAGTGAAAACTCTCATGATACAGCTCCTGCGAGCCGTGGCTCACATGCACGATAATTGGATACTTCACAGGGATCTGAAGACTTCCAACCTGCTCCTCAGCCACAAAGGCATTCTGAAGGTACAGCTCATCAGAGATTCGAGACAGATTATTTCTTGGCTCAGACGGGCTCCCTCGCCGTTTTCCGTCGATTTCGTTACTACGCCCCCGAATATGGATCAATTCGAATTCGAGATAGGAGTTTTCCACCGCGTGTCCGACTCATTTTCTCTTCTAGGTGGGAGATTTCGGTTTGGGTCGGGAATACGGATCCCCACTGAAGAACTACACGCCCATCGTGGTCACTCTATGGTACCGAGCCCCGGAGCTCTTACTGGGTAGCAAGGAGTACTCTTGTCCCATAGATGTTTGGAGCGTGGGCTGCATTTTCGGGGAGCTGCTCACGATGGCGCCTCTATTCCCAGGGAAAAGTAAGTGCGAAATTTCCGTAGTCGTAAGTCCCCGATCGAAGGAGAGCATGTCCCGAATTCTACATTTTCCGGCCGATGGAGATCTCCCCATCATCTCGTAAGAAACTCTCTCGATTCCAGGTGAGATCGACGAATTGAATAAGATTTTCAAAGCCCTCGGCACGCCGTCGGAGAAAATCTGGCCCGGATACAACGAGCTGCCCATGGTCAAGAAATTCTCTTTCGAGCACCAGCCCTTCAATCACCTGAGGAAGAAGATCAGCGAGGACAAGCTCACGGATACCGGATTCAAACTCTTAAACAAATTGTTGACGTACTGTCCACAGAAACGGATAACCGCGGAGGAGGCGTTGCACCACGAATGGTTCGAAGAGTCACCTGAGCCCATAGACCCAGAGATGTTCCCTACCTGGCCGGCGAAGTCCGAGGGAGGCAGTCGGAAAGCACATTCGCCTAAACCTCCCGCCGGTGGACAACAGTATTCGATGCAGAATCTTACCATGCAGAATGAATTGTTCCCTTCCCGTTTCGGAATAGGGAGGAATATCAACACGCCGTGATCATCATGTTTGAATAAATGCGAAATATACGAGAACCCACATTGTTCGAAACTATTAAGAATTCTATTTTTTCCCCATCGAAGCTCCGATACCTACGAAATGGGGCAGACACTTTCAAGGGTCATGTATCTCAATCATTTTTATTGAGAAGGCTTTCGAGAGAAGATCCGTATGGAGATGACTGTCTGCTATAGATGAAGTGGGTGTTTTCATTATTTTTACGTTATTATTAGATGAAGGTGAGTCGAGTCCCGTTCTGGTTGAGTTGCCAGACGTTGAGTTCCTCGTACTCTTTGATGGCTTTGTCGAAATCACTCTGCTTGATTCCCTTCGATGTGCAGAGATCGAGCAATTCCGAAATCCTCGCCGAATTCGAGCCGGTGGACGACGCGAATTCCTGGATGATGTGATACACGCGGTCGACAACCGATTGCGGCCTCTTGTTCTGTGCATCCGGTTGGTTGTGGAGCGAGGCCTTAGACGCTTCCATGAGACGCAGAGCTTCATCCACGTCTTCCTTTTCTACGATCTCACTCGTTCGAAGACGAGCGAGTGCGCTGGCCAATCGGAGGATGGCGAGGAGAGTCCTCGGTGACATGAACGCCGCGTCGGCCCCTCCGCCGCGAGCGTCCTTCCGGATGGCGACGTAACCTTTGACGATGTATTCGGTGAGCTCTTCGGGAACGTACGGGTCGACTTTCTGACACGAGTGGATGTACCGTCTGAGGAGCTTCATGTCCAGAGGGGTGAAGCTCAGCTGAGGCTCAGTACAGTTTTGGTGGACGTAGAAGATATGCTGTGCGAGTCGGAGATCGCTTTCGCGATCGATTTTGTCTTGGATCAAGAACAGGAGATCGAATCTGGACAACAGAGCCGCCGGGAGATTCACGTTCTGCTCAATGGTCTTTTTGACATTGTAGCGACCGTACAGAGGATTGGCAGCTGCGAGGATCGACACGCGAGCGTTGAGGGTGGTCATGATTCCCGCCTTTGCGATCGAGATGGTCTGCTGTTCCATAACTTCATGGATAGCCGTTCGGTCATTTTCGTGCATTTTATCGAACTCGTCAATGCAGCAAATACCGCCGTCAGCGAGAACGAGCACCCCTCCCTCGAGTGTCATTTCACCGGTGAGGGGATCCTTCATGACAGAGGCCGTCAAACCCACGCCGGAAGAACCACTGCCAGTCGTGTACTGACTACGTGGGCACAGTCGAGTGACGTAACCCAGTAGCTGCGACTTCGCCACTCCAGGATCGCCCATGAGGCAGACATTAATGGTGCCTCTGATGTGCATGCCGTCGGCCGGTCTTTTGTCGACTCCTCCGACAAGTTGGAGGAGAAGAGCTTTCTTGACGTCGACGTGACCGAAAATCTCGGGCGCGATCGATCCAGCGAGTTTTTCAAAGAAATCCTCTTCTTGTATGGCCTGGAGCTCCTCCTCTGTGAGGTCCTCCTCGAGTTCGGCGGTTTCGAGCTTGTTCATTTTGATGATGCTGTGAGCCTCGACGTAAGAGCTCGACAGCAGACCCGACATCATTTGACGGAAACCGGCTTTCTGCTGCGGCAGGTACACGCCTGTGATGTTGACGTGGTCTCCCGGCTGGCATAGACGAGTATTTTCCCCACGAGCGTAGACGACTGTCGTCCGAGGCACGTCTCCTACCGGAACCTGGTCACTGTGTTCCTGAATCCGCAGCTCCTGGAACTTCATGAACTTCGAGCCCCGAGTTTGAAGGGCGAGTTTCCCACCGCTCTTGTTGGTCTTGCAGTCCTGTGACGGACAGGTGTCGAGCGGGGTGAATTGATTCGAAATGATTGGTTGATAAGTTTCCGCCCCACATTGGTCGCAGATATAAGTGGCAACGCTCATCAGAGGCTTGACTTCGGTGCAGCGGATCACCACACCCTTCACCCCGATGAGCTTACCGAGGTAGATGGCTTTCAGATCCCGAACCGAGCTCATTTTCTGCTCGGCGGGCAACTTGAAGTAAACTTCGAAACGCTTCAGGAGCTCTGGTGGGTAATTGTTACGCGGATCGTGCGTGTCGCCAGGCTGTCGCAAACGTTGCTCCATCATGATACGGTGCTCGATATACACGTCGAGTGTGTCTTTAGGCACGGAGTCCCTAGTTTTCATCTCGGGTAGGAGATCGTATACGCTGTCGGAGAATATTTTCTCGTAGCGACGAGCATTGTTGATGATGGCTTCGGTGAGTTCGGGGTCATATTCGGAAACGTCATCTAGGGAAACGACGAGAGACGTCTGCTCTCGGTGAGCGATCTCGCGGATCTGATCGGCGTAAACGCGAACTTTCTTGCGGCCATCTCGTTTCACGAATTCCTTGAAGAAATTGCCGACGCGCTCTGGAATCGGAACAGCGATTTTATTTTCACGAGTTGTCGGCTAGAGCATTCGCTCAGCTGTCGCGACTGGAATTGTCCCCACGTACCGGTGAAGACGCCGACATCCCCTGTTTCATATAAGACTTTCTAACGACTAAAGAATCTATGAACCACGATGAGATGAAATTTAAATGTCCGCTCGTTCCACTTCGTCGTGCGACGTCGGAAACTTTCCGACTTTAACGGTTACGACTCACCTTTAGCCGAAGTGTAGTCCCTCTCGTTGAATTTGCCGGTGTCTGCCATGGTTTTTGTCACGGAGGATCACTTTCCAGCGCCGCTAACTGCGAAATGGACTCGCGTCAAGTTCACGGGGAAATCAGTTGAGCTTGTGTCCACACAAAGCGCCCATAGGCGATCATTGGCGCCAAGAATTTGGCGGGCTTTACCCTCACCACTGTGGTGCCACAACGAGCACCGGCGAACGCATCACACATTTGAACCATCGAGAGCAATCAGATGAAGACATGAAATCCGGTTTGTGAGCTTGAACGCTTTGTACGGCGCACTCTTGTACGCTTGTACGTATGCTGAGGAGAGCGTACAATTCTACGTATGTTAAATCTATGGGAGGTGCGTACAAGAAAAACGCGGCGTAAAATTCCACAAAAATGGAAGCTCACCATGGGGAGGGTACACGATGGGACTGATGATCTTTGCTGAGTATTTGTCAGTGATCGGGCGGTCCCTTCCACATTTTTTCGGCTCGGATTTTCAGACATGTCGGATCACACGGGATTACGCAGTATCACGAAGCATCCCCGTCACGATGAGATCGCCCGGGATAACGGGGAGAAACATGGGATGACGATACACGAACGAACGGCCATGTTCCTTTCTTTTTGTTTTGACTCCGAGCGCGATGAATCGGTTCCGGACCCTACGTGGATAGTGATAGGTGAATTTCCGCGATTCCGGGAACTCATAGGTCTAGTTAGAAGTACCGCAGGTTTTCTAAAAACATCAGATTCCTTTGGGGGGTTGTCTCGATATCTCATCCATTCATCGTACTCGTCTGAGTCCAGGCCCAGGCTGTTTCACCTGCGCCGGCATGACAAATATCGCGCCTCCCGCAGCAGGCAGGTACATGTGACAACACATGGCACAGGAACCGCACTTGCCCATCAGACTGACCAGAGATCGATGGCAGAGATCGATGTCGACGTTGATCTCGCCCCTCATTTTTCCTACATCGACTGAAAGCGCGTAGAGGAACCGGCCTTTTCGCATTTCTCTCTTCAGTAGAGTCAAGTTCAGAATGCCACCCGATGACTTGACTCCCGACACCACCTTTACTTTGAACACGCCTGTTATTTCCGGATGTTTCGTGACGATATTTTTCATCTGTTGAGATGTCATCTTGACTCCAATTTTTCCCCAGAAACGGATAACGATATGTCGGTCCGTTATCCTGAGGATGGTCTCCGCTTCCACACGCTTCGGCTGCAGGGCCATGGTGAATGCTTCGTCATTCATGTGGGTGGAGTTTTTATATCGATATTCTGGCTCGTGGACAGGTTCCTGACGAAGCTCGCGACGTTGTCTTCGGCTCATTGCAGCGGCCGTCGGGAAGCTTGAGGCCCATAGCGATTGGGAGTACGCTGCGGAGACTCGCATCTAAGATTCTTCTGGCGGGTGTGAAGGGGCCCGTGGCTGCTGTGCTCAACCCACGTCAGCTAGGGTTCGCGACCCGAGGTGGCTCGGAGGCTGCAGTTCACACCGTGCGCACGTTCTCGCACCGAAAAGAGTACTCAAGGTTCCGGAACGCTTCCAACAGTCACCGACACCATGTTGAAGCAGGCCCATAAGCACGCACCGGAAATATATCGGATGATCGCCCAGACTTACAGCAAATCAACGTCTATTTTCTTTGGAGATTATTGAATCCCGCACCGGCTGCCAGCGGGGAGACGTATTCTCTCCGGCGTTGCTCGTGGTGCAGAACACCCTTGAACCTCTCCGGAGTGAGGTCGTCGTACTCGACGACTTCACGATCTGTAGCCAAGATCCCCAACATGTCATAGATGACATTGGGCGCATCCGGGCACATCACGCTGAGCACGGGCTGACGGTAAGCCCCGAGAAATGCGAAGTCTTCGTTCGCGGCTTCTCAGCGACGGAGGTTCTGCACATCCACATTTCGGATGCGCTACCGGGATGTCCCTTGATCGCTGATGAATCCGCGGTTGACCTGCTGGGGGCTCCTGTCTTCGAGGCTGGCATCCCTCGGCCACTGGAGGCTAAGAGCGGTGTATACGAGACGATCTTCCGACGCTTACGACACGTGAGCAGCCATGTCGCCACGTTCATCATGCAGAAAGCAGCAGGGGTACCGAAGCTCACCTACCTCTTGCGGGCGAGTCCTGTCTACAGATCCCTGACTCATCTGAGGCGGGTGGATGATCAATTCGTATTCGAGAGCATCTTGAAAATCTCCCTATCTGGTGATGCTCTCATCCAGCTCTCCCTGCCCACCTCTTCGGGTGGAATAGGTATTCCGATAATCTCCCTGACTGCCTTGCCGGCCTTCGCCGCATCGTGCCATGCCGCAGAGTCTCTGGTCCTCGACATCCTCGGCTCTCGAGCCCGTGCACCTGGAGGTCGAAGCGGCAGCGGAATTCACGGCCTCCTACGGTTCAGCGCCCGCTGACGACGAGCGAACCCGCCAAGCTGAGTGGATTCGCATTGCTTGTGAGCCGATCATGAAGGACCTCCGCTTACGACCTCGGTGACGGACTCCATTCGCCTGGGGAACGCTGCGCTCCCGGAGTCCGGCTGGTAGCTTCAGGCCCTGTCAATCCTGGAACGCTTCTCTCTGATGTGGACTTCATTCGAGTGGTGAGTCTCAGACTGGGTCTGCCGATTGCTGAAGAGGCCACCTGCGTGTGCGGATCCCCGATCGACCGTCTTGCTCTGCATAGTTGCTACTGGCGCAACACGCAGCGATCAACGATCTCCTGACCCGGGCCCTCCGACAGGCGGGCATCCCCTGCACCAAGGAGCCGCGACATCTTTCACCGAATGACGCACTCCGCCCGGACGGGATGACTCTGGAGCCATGGTCACGCGGCAAACGTCTGATTTGGGACGGTCAAGGATTCGTTTGCACCAAGTTATCGCGGTGTCGCTTACAACAATGCAAGACTCATCGCTGGCGGAGTCTTCCAGAGTGGAGCCCTCGGGGAACTCAGTTTCCTGGGTGGCTGATCTATTCGGGAACTCTTGAAACTGTTCAACCACACTCCTTGTAAATAAACTAAATGTCATTCCCAGAATATTCAGCTGAACTCCGATCTCTTGATCTTCCTCGCCCAAGCAGGTCCTCGTCAAACCTCGGCAACAAGCACCGCAGTGAGCGACATCATCGAGTAGACGACCGAGTTTTCGAACGCCTGACAAGAGAGATCTGGTCCCATCTCAATCTCTCGAAAGTGTCGAGTCCTGCTGACGTCGAATCGATGAACAGCAGATCGTCATTTTCGAGTCTCCCGCTAGGTGTCGCCTTCTTCGCAGATGAGAACCTGACTGACGGACTCCGACTTCGAGCTCGCTCAGACATTTTCACGACATGTACTTCGTGTATTAATACAGAAGCTCTGACTTCACCTTACCCGCGAGGCAGACCTATAGAACTCTGATTTCGCGACCGCGACTCCGGATCCGACGCTTCGAATCAAGGTACGTGATCCAGCAACGGCTTGAAAACAAAACGCCGCCGTGGCTGCAGCCAGTCTCAAACAGCGCGGACGTGGCCGCACTATAGAAGCTCGCCCTCGAAACCCCTGGCTGCATGGAACCGCGAGAGCCTCCTCATACCCATGTCGCCGCAGCTCTCGCAAGAGAGTTGCGGTGACATATCCTCGTGCAATACAAAATCGGTCTTCCAGCAACAGTAAAGGGTCCGCTACTATCTGCTCTCCGCGATAGTCCTTTGCTGTTGTCTTCATAGCCGATCGTATTTACAATGCATGGATCGGGGGATGCGGCGGCCATCCTCCTTTTTAGTTTCTTCGTCCAGCTTCAGGACGAGCGGATCTCCGAAAACCGCAGTCATCTTACGATTCATCCGGCAGGGATGTACGGTGTAGGTACGCTTCGTCGAGCTATCCGAAAATGATTCGCGGATGGGTTCGAGCCTGGTAATCGAGGGCTCTGTTAGATTATGATCGTGGAAGACACGTCGTCTTAATCTTATCTGGACGAAGTTAGATTTATTTCGGCATGCTAGCTCTTAATAGATAGCGTGAAAACGAAGACCATCGCGGACATGCGCAGATATTCTCACACCCCCCCCCCGTGCGCATGTTAGCATAATCCTAGTTTCTCTCGGCATTGCTTGAACTTCTCTGCCGCTAATCCTTTCGTTGAAATGTCGGCTACCATTTCGGCCGTGGAAACATACTGTATCTTAACAAGACCGTCCCTGACCATTTCCCTGATGAAATGGTGGCGGAGATCAATGTGCTTGGTTCGTTGATGCTGGATACCATTAGCGCTTACAATTAGAAGAACTGCCCCTTGGTTATCGCACCAGAGCGTCATGGGTCGATTCACGGTAACGGCGGGCAGCTCTGTGAAGTTCAGCAACCATTTGATTTCCTGACACGCGGCGGAGCACGCCATATACTCCGCCTCGCTTGTTGACAACGCCACCGTCGGCTGTTTCTTGCTTTTCCACGAAACACAAGCTCCAGACAGCAGGAACGCGTATCCTGTTGTAGATTTTCTACTCTCCTGGCATCCGCCCCAATCAGCATCGGGATAGACTTCAATAGGCTTGGTAATGCTTCCATCGAATCTCAGTTGAAGGTCGATTGTTCCTT